TGTACATGAGGCCATACCAAGGCGGCGCTATGATTGGTTGCTGGCTAATTGCTATTAACGCGCGAGCCAATCAGGTTGCAGTATTATGACGGAACACAATTGATGAAAAACTTTGTCTCAAAGATCATTTTGATTTTGGGTTTCCTCTTCGTCTGCAAATGGACGGGAAAACCCATGAGTGTCGAAAATACACTTGGGAAGAAGTTCGCCGTCATAACACCGCAACAGACTGTTGGGTTGTTATCGATGGAAAAGTATACAACGTTAGCAAATGGCTAAAATTTCATCCTGGCGGAGTCTTGCCCCTACTCTATTCGGCCGGCCAAGATTGTAGCAGTGTGTTCAAAGCCTTTCATCCATTCTCCTGGATAAGGGAAAAGCGTCTGCCGCCGTTCTACATCGGCGATATAAGCGAGCCAGACAAGGAAGGAGTTAAAGAGTCTGAAATCTCAAGCGAACTGGATAAAATTCAGGAAGAAATAGTGAAAGAAGGCGGCTATGAGACGCATTGTAAGTTGATTTAACGAGGTTGAATATCACATCATTTTATCCAACCGTTGACAGTCATGTATGTATATGTTTCGTTTGTATTCCATTATTTTTAACAGAGATAATGAAAAAGCTTTATGTAATAACTCTGAAACTTGCGAACAGTTTTTAATAAAAAAAATATAAGCAATTTTTCCCTTGGTTTTTTTCGAGGGCCGTGTTTATATATTGCATTGCCAAGCCGGCAAAATTTGACAAGCGCCGGCCGTTTGCGCAAACTGGTTTGTGCGTTGATGCATAAATACTGAACGCTATGTCCAGCCTCATTTCGAGCGATTTATACGTTTCTATGAATCGAAAAATACAGGTTTTTGAAAGAGGAAAAGGGTGTGTTCCATTGCTGTAAATGGATGAGATTTTTTATTTGTGTTTGCACCTGTCATGTTTGTAGTGCAGCTGTCAGAAACATAATAAACCGACGCTTAGTTTGAAGTGTAAAAAGGCAAAGCTCTTTCAGATACCAAGTTCTCGTGGTTTGTGAAAGTAGTCGATGTGTAACAGACAATGAGTTTAGTCTAAATACATGACGGGATGTGTTGATTTAATGCTTATAGCACAGGATATACAGTACACTTTTTGGATATTGTTTATATAAACTAATGCTATTAATCTTAACATATTAAATGGAAAGAAATATACGAAGCGATTAAGCTAGCTATCTCCAGAGACATATTCGGGGGTTGAAACTCGGTGCATTGGTTGCCTACTTGCCTGCCTAAACTGAACATCCAAAATATTTCCACCACTTGAGCAATTTCAAAATTTCTGATTGCAGAAGGCATGCCCAGAACTTTCCAGAGGGTTTGGCCCTTCGATATTCAGATATGTCACTTAAGCCCCCGTTTCATATGCATACTTTTTACAGGTGCTGAATTAAATTAAGTATGGCATTTGTGTGAATTTGGTATGGCAGCTGATTCATACGGCATTTATTATAGCAAATTTAATTTGTTCTTGATGTTTCGGTTGTTTTTGGTGTTCCGGTTAAAACCTTAATCGGCTGCCACACCAAAGTCGCATAATGCAGTAAGACATGTTGAATTTAATTCTTTTGCCAGACCAAATTAAGTTGCTGAACTTAATTTGATTCAGACGCCATGAATTGAATTCAGCACATGTGAAGTACGGCCTCTTGAATCAGGCCTAAGGGCTCTTTCAAAAGAAGTCCAATATGTCCCCCTCTGGATGGCGGAATGTGGACCTTTTCTGGATTGACTCTATGTGTCAAATTTAGTTTTTGAATTATGCACTAGAACGGTCTATGCCAGTGTAAGTAGTGATAATAATAAGAAAGCAGTGGATTAAAAGGATACAACTACCTGAAAAATACAAGCAGTGTTATTTTCTGCTGGCTGAGGAACGAAAGAGGCAGAAAATGTTTTTCTCACACACTGCTGGGGAATTGGGTGAAGGGTGGGGTCAAGGTAATCAGACTCACTTTTTTGCTTGCCTTGTGCTAGCCTGACCTGTGTTGTTTTTGTTGAGCGAAAAGTTTGCCTTTGTTGGCGTGGTAGTCATGCCTAAACAATCAAATCAACCTAAATCAGACTCTAGAGCGTTACGGCGCCTAGATCCGTACAATAGAAGTCCTCGAGAGCGGGAAGAAAATCCAGAACGAAGTTCGCGCCATTCGAGTGGCGAAAAAGCAAGGTCGCGTCCTTCGCAATCCGCCAGTCGTTCAGAGACTCGTAGTCGCTCATGTTCGCCATCTGAACCGCCACAATGGGCGAGAGAGTTGTTAAAGAATCAGGAGGATTATAGAAAAGAAATGAAACGTCTACAAAGCGAAATCGAGCGTCTATGTCGACGCGGGATTGTGGGCAAACTATGGGTGTTGTTTTGTCTACTTTTTGGTGAATGTTAAAACAAACGAATGTACGTAACGTGAACTGTCAATAATATGCGAATAAATAAATAACTAAAAAATTGAATTGTCAATACCAAATGGCCTGTTAGGGGCACAATGGCCTGTTAGGGGCACAATAGCCTGTAAGGGGCATAATAGCCTGTAAGGGCAGAATCGCCTGTTAGGGGCAAATGGCCTGTTAGCGGCACAATAGTTTGAAAGGGGCAAATACCAGAGTGGAGTTCTGCCCATGGTGGCCATTGTTGTTTACCTGATAAGAATTATGGCAAGCTTTGTCAAAGCCTGTTGCAGAGTTGAACCACACGACAGTTTTTGGAACTCAGTTCAGCAGCAAGTAGCCAATTGGCTTTGGGTGGCCTGTCAGGGGCGCAATCACTGTGTAATAGCCTGTTAGGGCAGAATTGCCTGTAAAGGGCAAATGGCCTGTTAGGGGCACAATAGCCAGTAAGGGCAGAATGGCCTGTTAGGGGCAAATTGGCCTGTTAGGGGCGGAACAGCCTGTAAGGGGCAAATGGCCTGTTAGGGGCACAATAGCCCGTAAGGGCAGGATGGCCTGTTAGGGGCAAATTGGCTTGTTAGGGGTACAATAGCCGTAAGGGCAAAATCACCTGTTAGGGGCATTAATGGCCTTTTAGGGGCACAGTATCCTTTTAGGGGCACGATATCCTGTTAGGGGCACAATATCCTGTAAGGGCAATTTGCCTGTTTGAGGCACAATAGCTTGTTCAGGATTGCCTGTCAAGGAAACAATACGTATTAGAGTTACAGTGGTGCAACACTTGGAAGGACTAAATGACAGTTGTTATCACATACATGGTGTATGTGCAGGTGGAGCAGCAGCAGCAGCCGCTTTGGATGTGCCAATCCTGTTTCACTAACATGGGGAGTGACAGCCTAGGACAGATGCTGTGAAGAGAGATTATACTCTTTGTTATTAGTAACAAAAACTGTTAAGATAAGAACACTTAATTAAGAGGCTTCTCCCAAAGCCTCTTGAACACTCTATGCGCTTTTTGCCTTGCGTGTGCAGCATCCCTCAGCTGTGTGTGAGAAGTGTTATTTTCTGCTGGCTGAGGAACGAAAGAGGCAGAAAATGTTTTTCTCACACACTGCTGGGGGATTGGGTGAAGGGTGGGGTCAAGGTCATCAGACTCACTTTTTTGCTTGCCTCGTGCTAGCCTGACCTGTGTCCCACCTACCCGCCCTATTTGCAGGTAGTGCCTAGTTATTATGTAGTTGCAGTAGTGTGCTAACTAGAATTGGGTTTAGTCCAACACGTGGTAATTAGTGAGTTGCAGTTTGTACGGATCCGTTTATTGTAAATATGAGATATTTTTGTTGATTAAAGGTCAGGCTGCCTTGCGTGTGCAGCATCCCTTAGCTGTGTGTGAGAAATATATTTGTGTATTGTGAGAAATGAAATTGCAACCTCGTGGTTTCAAACTTGGTATTTTGCATGTGTTTGCTACACGGCAAAAAATGCGAGCCCGTTGCTCAACAGGACTGAACAATGTTTTGCTGCCAACGTTGTTCACACTTGTCAACAATATTGAACAATGTTGTTGAGCCTGAATCGGGTGTAACAATATTGTTCAATATTGTTGACAGCTATGAACAATGTGGGCAGCAAAACACTGTTCAATCCTGTTTTCATCAGTATTGCATCAACCTGAGCGTTTTTACGCATGTAGTTGAATTTGTAGGCTTTCCCAGGGGTTTCTAGGGAGCAAGGCAGATTTAGCAAGAAGGAAGAAAGGAACATGGTGAAATACCTGTGGGGAACAAATTAAAGGAAACTTGTAAACATGAGAACACAGACCTGCCTGGGGGACCCTCAGTTTGGCTTGGGCCACCGGTGGATGTACATATAATTGGCTATGTCATTTAACTATTATGTTTTATATGTAATGCCTTGAATTTGTAATATACGGCAATTGCTAACGTGATTGTGAATGTGAATAACGAAAGTAGTGACGTATTACATTGGCATTTTTTTCTGTCATGAATTTGCTAACAACAAGCAGGTTTACGTACATGATTATTCTTCACATGACTTTGTTCTTTTCTTTCACACTCCTCGTACAATTATCTTAGTTGAATAAAGTATAATAAATAGGATTCAATTATCTTTTTCATAATTAACCTGGGGCCAAGAGATACAGTATAGGATACTATAAGAAGTGGTTTTAGGCCTTTAAGATGCTGCACTATAAAGTTGCCTTGGTGGAGATATTTTATTTAAACTAAACATAGTGGATATAATCAGGGGCCCCTGGAAGTCCTGGTCAAATAAACTAGACAATAAGTTTTAAAATAACCTTATTTCTAGGTTAACCAGACCAGATTGTTTTTAGAATGCATCTTGTTTACCCAGCCCTTTTCAACAGACAACAGCCATATATTTCTGCCCCTACCCAGAGGTGTACAGGCAAAAAAAAACCCAGCAATCTGCAATGCCCCCTACCAATTGTACAGTTAGTAACACTGGCACAATAAGAGATTGATCTTACTGCACCTCTTGTAATGGAGAACAGTTTAGACAGAACTAATACCAGTAGAGCTATCCAGTAGAAGTAGAATTATAGTTTCCACCAGGGTCAATTTGCAGTACATATCTCGATATATCCACAGTATACTAAAATTTGGTTTCGGATACGAAACTGTGAATGACTTGACAATCCTGACTGAATATTACAAAATTGCAAACATTAGGATAATGCTAAATTGCCTCCATTGTTCTCCCAATTAGCTTCAAATGAAGTTGCATCCCTACCAATGTTATTATATTGGCACTAACAACACTGGCATAGACTGTTCAAGATTGAATACTATTAGTCTGACTTCTTGAAAATAACCGGCCTTTAATTTTCAACTTTTGGTGGTCTAGTTGTTGACTGTTGAGTCTCCGGTTGTTATTGTAATATACGTCATAATGTCAGTGCATGGTTCAAGGAAAATATGGTAACCAGTATCCAGAAATGGGATACTAGATTCTTGGATGGGATACTAGAACTTTGTATCCTGGTATCCCAGTGGGTATTGAAAAATATTCTAAATTTCAGGCCCTGCTTTCCATTGTAGTTTAGTTCAATTAACATATTACTCATATAATATATTACCAGTTAGTGCTGGCTCAAATCAAGGGCGACAGTCATGGGTGGATGCACCCCCTCCCCCACACTATTTGGGGTGGGGAGATAAACATATAGTTACCATATTTTGCTTTCTGTACAATTCATGATACATGAGTAATAGTTATTCAGCGTCAGTTGTGGTCAGACTAACATCATCTCGCGATTGAAATACTTCATCTTTATTAAAAGAAATCGATGTTCTCAATGAGTATACAAACAGGCACAGTGAAAGCGCCCTATCCCACAGCAGTGGTACTTGTGTTTCACTTGTTCTGAACAAGAAAGACTTGCCCCAATCCTATTGCCCCAATCCACATTTTTGCCCCATTCCCACTGGACTTAATTGATACTTAAATTTGTTATGCTCCTTTTTATCCAGATGGCTTCTACTTGAAGAACTTCCTATTCCAATTCGCTCTGCTTGGATTTGTGATCTACCTCCTGACCACAACAACCTCGCCTCTGGCCCAGATCATTGCTGCAGTTGCAATGGGATTCTTCTTCCAACAGGTTGCATTTGTCGGCCACGATGCTGGTCATCACCAAATAACGCACGACCAAGATACAGATGAAATTATAGGATTCCTTGTTGGTAATACTCTTTCTGGCATCGGCATTGGATGGTGGAAACGCAGCCATAATGCACACCATGTTGTAACCAATTCTGTAAACTGTGATCCGGACATTCAACACCTACCCGTATTTGCAGTCACAGATAAGTTCTTCAAACCGGTCATCTCGACGTACCATAATAAAACTTTCTCCTTCGATAGGATTTCGAAGTTTTTTGTATCGAACCAACATTTGTTATACTATGCTATAATGGGTGTGGCAAGGTTTAACCTGTATGTCCAGAGCATTATACACGTGTTGACGCATTGTACAGGACGAAAGCAAAAATTAGAGTTGATTACACTGGGTATCTTTTGGTGTTGGTTCTCGTTACTTTGCTCTCTTATCCCAACACTGTCAGGAAGAGTAGTATTCGTCCTGCTATCCCATTTCGTCGCAGGGCTATTACATGTTCAAATCACCATAAGTCATTTCTCAATGGCGACCTACCACGGTCTACCGTCTCACACCTACCAACGCGATTCCTTCTTCGTGTCGCAAATGGAAACAACCATGAATGTGGACTGCCATCCTTACATGGACTTCTTCCACGGTGGACTGCAGTTCCAAATCGAGCACCATCTATTCCCTAGAGTATCCAGACCCTACCTACGTGCTCTGTCCGCGAAAATTCAAAAACTCTGCCAGAAACATGATGTACGATACTTATCTCTTAGTTTCTACGATGCTAATAAAGAAGTGCTTGGCTCACTAAGAGAGACTGCCAAGAAAGCTCAGTGTTTTTCCTCGTTTATTTGGGATGGAATAAATGCTGTTGGCTAGAAAACATTTTGGACAATGCAAATGATCGTATTTAGGTTATCCTGTGAAGTTCAAATTCAAAACGTTCAATGAATTTGGTTGCATATATATTACAAAACCTTATTTAATTACTTGAAATTTTAAAACACATTTTTAGAAATTTATTTCACAAAGTTGTATTATTTGGCATTTATAAAATGTTATATAATCGTATACCAGTATTATTGGTTGCATAAATGTATAATATTAAATTAAGATATTACATTTTTAATGTTTGTGCTTTCGAAATTTACATAATATTATATGTATTAAGATATTATAGTTATTTTGAAATTTATGTAATGTAATACATAAGAGTTCTAAGTATTATATTCAATCCTTTTTGAATGCGAGAGATAATTTAAAACATTATGGTGTGATTTTAAAATTTAGAATATCAATATTGTCCTGATGTATACCTTGTGGTTAGAGTTCGACAACTGGATTATGTTGGAGCTCGGTTGGAACCACGCCCTGGTTAGAAGGAAGAAGTTAATTTCGCTGACATCAGAATGACATTTCGTCAAACCTTTTTTCTTCAAGATTGGTTTAGAAACAAACTTAGAGTAGGGTTAGGTTAGGGTTAGAGTAAGGATTAGGGTTAGAGTTGGTGTTTGGAATAGGGTTAGTGTTGGTAAAACCGTTGCTTGGTTACATTTTATCACTCTGAGGCCAGCGAAATAACCTCTTCCTGGTTAGAACACTGCACCAGAATCGCAGGTTCGATTCCTGCCAGAGGGCCTATAGTTGTATTTTCCGCAAATACTCCTGGTTAGGTCTAGCTCTAAAATTGTATATAATCTTCCGCTAGAAATTTCCATCTAGACAAATCCTTGAAGTGTTTGTCGAGTGAGATGCCCAAAACAGGGGAGGGGGAGGGGGATGATACGAATCATCCCGATTGGCAGGGCAAATTTCCAATAAAATTAAATAAATGAATTATGAGTTCAATTTTAAATGATAAAATGTAGAGTTATTTAGTAACTTATTACAGCTAGCAAACAATAAGCAGTTCGTATGCATGTACATTGGCATCGGCAGTTCAAATAGTACGTAGCTTAGTATTGTATTGGCGCTGCAGGGCAGAATTGGTTTTGGCAGAGCAATTCTGCCAGACACCCCCCTAATTAAAAGGGGCTAGTTTCGCCCCTGGCCCAAAAACCTCTGATTTGTACCCACCACTTTTCTTCGGGCCAATTTTGTAAATAAGAGAAACTGGGGGGAGGGGAGCGTAAGCTCGTAATGACATAAAATATACCAAATCTGTGGCTTTCCTGGGATCGAGGTTGGCTTTCAGATTATCATAATACGCAGGGACGCCGGAACTGGGGGGCAGGGGGGCGGCTGCCCCCCTTGCCTTTTGCTAGGGGGGGCAGAAGTGCCCCTTTAGTTGTAAAATAATGCGTGATTAATCACATTTCCAACGATGCTTTTTGTAGGAAAATCACGAGATTCAGGTAATTTATAGTTTATATTTATAAAAATTTTTGGAAATTTTTGGAATTTAGAAAAATATTTTGAAGAAATGGCGAAAATTTAAGATATTCGGAAAAATTTTTGGCTTCACGGAAAATTTTTGTATGTCCGGAAAATTTTTTTGACCCCTAAAATGGTACACTGACCGAAATTTTTTTGGCGAGGGGGGGGGAGGTCGCCAAAAATTTTTTCAGTAAAGGTGCCCTTGGTGTGCGTCCGCCCCAACCTCGTCCCCAGGGCCTTTGAGCTGGGGACGAGGTTGCGTCCGCCGCCCTTTGCCCTATTATCGTTCCGGCGTCCCTGATAATACGTGTCTAAAATGCACATGAAAGAGCGTGTCGCAGACTCTAAAAATCGAACATTTTTCCAAGGGAACCATGCCCCCTAGTTGTTATGTAAAATTTGCCAAGGAACCATGCCCTCTCGTTACGACAAAAAGGGAAAAGCCCAGGGAACGAAGTTGGTTGTGTGTATTCGACAATTGGACCCCACCTACTTGTTTGGGGGTTACCCCTGAGAATATCCGGGGTGAGTGTCTATCGTATTTATTTATGCACATACAGTTCGTCTCGGTTGCCGTATCAGTATCTTTTGCATACGAGACGACAAACCACAATGCAGTGCGAATTTCAATATGGCGCCACTATTATTGAAAAGCTCTACATTCTTTACAGTTGCACACTCCAGGTCAAATTGAGGTCAGTGAAACGAAGTTGCCAAAGAAATTTACGATTTAAAAATGGAAGCTATCTAGACCCAGTCTTTTGCCCCAAGTCGCTCCTTTTAATTCTCCATGCTGAAAATGCAAGGAGTGGATATTGTGTGAGACAGATTTTAGTCAATTTTTACACTTGTAAAATGAATTCCAACTATATAATAGGAATTGTAGGAGCTGTAGGGACAGCATTTATTGGATATTGTATATACTTCGACAGGAAACGCAGGAGTGATCCGAATTTCAAGGAAAAACTAAGAGAAAGTTAGTGCCAAATTATATCTATTCAGTTTATAAATATTGAAGTCACAATATTTGTTGCATAATATCACAGAGTAGATACCACTGCCTTGCCATGTATTCGCAATCGCAAAGCACTTACGTCTCGCAATCCAGTCACCATGATCCTAGCCAATGTACTTAAATGACTTATATATGAGAGGCACTTGCCTAGGGGTTTCCACAAGTTGCTCGGCACCTTTTTGGCAACTTTTCATTTTATGAATAACTTTTGTTTTAAACTGCAACTTTTGTAACTTCGAGCAACTTTTCATGAATTTGACTCAAATTCATGAAAAGTTGCTCGAGTTACAAAAGTTGCCGTTTAAAACAAAAGTTATTCATAAAATGAAAAGTTGCCAAAAAGGTGCCGAGCAACTTGTGGAAACCTCTACACTTGCCCCCTGAACATCTAGGGGGGGTGAATAGGTGTATACAAATCCGCCAAAATTGGATCAAAATCCGCGATCTGACAATGATTTTGTCTAAATTTGAATCCGCTAAAAGCTCTACTATGAAGTCACAATCCAGGATCCGAACTAAATTGCAAGCTAAATCCACAATCCGAGTCAGATTCGCAAATCTGTGTAAAATATTTGGCAGATCTGAAATCCGAACAATTTTCTCTGTGAAATCCGACGATCTGAAAACCTATTCAGCCCCCCTCTAATGTTTCAGGAGGGTGACAGCCTTTCCCTAACATCCTGGCTAGAAACATGGTGGCCGGTAATGCCAACATCAAAGGTGCCAATGGCCCGACACAAGAAGTCAGACTTCTGTAACTCTATTTTGTGATTATATTGGCCTACAAATTTGGCCTATAATATTGACCAATTTACCACTAGCAATTTTGAAAATATTACTGGTTTTCCTGGTAATATCTAATGTCATATTTACAGTCACAGATGGATCATCCATCAAGACAGACAAGTTTCTTACACAAATATATTGCTAGCTTCTATCAGGTTACAAGGAGCAATTCTTGAATGTTACAGAGCTTGAAATAACAGCCGAAAAGCAGGGTTTTCAACCTGAAAAAAGCAAGGAAAGTCATAACTGCCGATTGCCATGATCAGGAACTTTGGGAACGTTATTTCAAGCCCTGTGCTAATAGTTACGTAAAGAAATTCTAAAATTAAAACATAATTTCTAGGAAGATTAAAAGCAAAGAGAGCAAAAGAAGCTTCTCAAGCTGATGAATTGAAGGTAAAGGGTTATAAAACAAGCCAATATTGCTATTTTGTGAATTCATGTGATTTTTATGTGACACATAAGTAAGAACGTATCGATCTCGGCAGGCTTGGAATTTTCCTAAAACCTCTCCACGGTAATTACATGAAAAATTGCTGTGGAGTGCAGCTCTTCTCTACCGCAGTTTTTGCCAATTCTGCCACGTTTTTTGTGGATGACAGGTTCTGTGTTTAGATATTGAATATTTATTACAGTTACACATAAACTACAGTACTGCCAAGAAATAACTTGTCCCCGCGTCTGCCCGCGTCCTGCCTCCAGAGCGCCCGCGTCTTGCGTCCACTCTGCCCGCGTCCTGCCTCCAGAGCGCCCGCGTCCGATCTCCACGACGCCCGCGTCTTGCATCTACTCCGCCCGCGTCCTGCCTCCAAAGCGCCCGCGTCCGGCCTCTAGTTAAAAACTGCGTCCGCTTGGACGCAGTCGTCGTAACATAATCGGAAAAACGAACTAATATTTGCATCATACTCGTAGTTTCTCGTGAGAATAGAGATCAGTGTCACTGATCGGAGAAGCAAAGAATAAAAAGTTGAATCCGAAATCGAGTTTCATTGAACCTAAGCGTTACACTTAGTATAACCATTTTATAATATTATACGTTATACTACAGTAAGCGTAGTGCTTTCACAATGCAATCACACGTACTTGAGTGGCGATTGAAGCGTATATGACTGTATATTGGAGCGTAAAATAGACATAAACTATATATAAATATAATGTAGATACATATACTAAACTCAGTGAGATCACGACTACAACGAGTATATATCTCGCAACACATTCATTTGCTACTCAAATTCTGACTTACCTCGTAGAAGATTGCCGATTAGTTGATATGCAATTCTGTATTTGAATGTTATGTCTCTGTAACTCGTCAGTATATTAAAACGAAGATGCTCATTTACAATATATATAGTGCTTTTGATTTTTCATATAAAATACCATTACTACGAGCCACTATATAACTTTATTTACAGCAACAAGTTTGTGTTGTTT